TCAACAAATAAATTGCTATGTAAACATTCTGTTCAAATAAACCGTGTGGCGCAGTTCGGTTTGGTGGGGGCGCCAAATGGCATTCAGCCTTATACAGGCTACCTTGTGAAAGCCTGTAAGTTCCTGTGAAGAAATGATGGCTTCCTTGTACGGGTATGTGACAAGAGAATCGTAATTAGAAGCGCTGGTGGGCGTCGCGTGCGACGTCGCGCCCGCAAATGACGATGGTTCCAGGTAGTAGATGGCGACAACAGGCAATTCAGAACCGAAAATAGTCATGAATGTCTACGATGACGGGGTCTACATGAAGTCCGGTTCCAGTCGACAGGTTAACACGAGTTAAGAAAACGCCGCGCCCATCGCCGCGCGCGGCGGAGCGGCAAATTACGATACTCTTGCCCATCTCCCCTTTGTACCATTCTGCAACTTCACAAGTATTTACAGGTAACACCTCTAAATTCACATGAACTAGCAGAAGGAATAGGAAAAGTACAGCTCCTGTGAGCCGAACAGCGCTCTAACATACTAGCACAAGTTTACACTGTACCCTGTCCACACTTGTAAAATTTTTTTCAGGACGAACACCACCTCCACCGCCTGCCGTTCCATCACGGCCGCCAGTTCATCCTGGAATGGCTGGTCCCGGAGGACGACCTGGTGGTCCATCACGACACGATGTTCATCCTGCTATGCGGATGGCACAGCAACAGGTAAGCATTGACTTCTTCATCTGGTAATTTTGCTGTTGATATCGTATTTGTAAACTCTTCGACCGAACTAGAACAGGAGATACGAAAATTTTTAATAGTTGTGGTATTTGGAAATGCAGATCGGAGACCTCCCATTGCAGTCCAAGACTGTGTTTATGTCCGGGTCCGGGAGGAACTAGTCCAGTCAGCTTTGGCAGGGAAAGATGCTCTGAAATTCATTTTACGCGACTAGCGACTATGCCATCAGGGTACAGCATCGTTGTGTGAAAAACATAAGGGGATCCGTGCTTTTCCAACGCGGGAAGGGAGGGGGGGGGTGTCGTATGTGCCTTCAACGAGAAATTTGCTCGCGTTGGGAAAAAACTCTTCTACTGTGTTGACATTCGCGTCCGATTTCTTCCTGTTATGACTCACTATTTACCTCCCTCTCTCCGCCCGGCCCCCCCCCCCGCTCATAGGCAAATTTTTGAGTAAAAGAAGGGAAATTCTCGGGAACTTCCGGAAGAAGTGGTAAGAATTTGGGGATAGTTCACAGTGGCTATCTACCCTCCCCCCCCCCCCCTCGAATAGAAAATTATTTTGGGTTAGAAATCGGAAGATGTGGGAGACACATTATGGTAGAAAGGTGCTGCTAGAAGGGAGGAGTCGGGAGCCGTACCGAGACCTCATTCAGAAGTGGGGAGTCATACCGATACTCCTTCTCGGGGTAGGGGGTAACCGGGGGTCGGCTTATACACCCATTTCACACATAAACGATGCTATTCCCTGCCCACGAGGAGCCGCATTCCATGCTTCGTGGCACCGCCCAGACTGATTTGGACAACACCACCTGCAGCTTTGCTTGTAAATATGAAACGCACATTTTGTTTCTGTCCGGTTTTAAACTGTTTTAGGTAAAACTGCGACCATCCTCCGTTGCCTCCCCCTACCCCTCAGTATTTCTCTGATTGCTTCGATTTTTCAAACATCAGTTAAGATTTTTCCTTTGTTTTTCTTTGTAATGAACAACGCGTTGCAGGCAGCCGAGACACAATCCAGTGGACGAGGATCGTTCACATGGATGCTGCCCCTCTACACTGTAGGAGTAGTGATCTTCCTTCTGTATACATTATTCAAGGTGAGCTACAAGGTCATTCTCTTTGTTACCAGAAGAAGGGAGACAGTATTTTAGTCGAAAGGCAAAAAGAAAAGACGATCTCGTTATGATTCGTCAGAAGAGAGCTCCGATGACGACGACGTGTACAACTGCCGACTTAAAAAGAAAATCGGTAGGTACAATTTTCCATTTTTTTCGGAGAATGACACTGCGACTTTTGCGGGCCTTCTGGGGCGACTGAGCGATATTTTGTTTCGCTGAGCTTGCCGATCGCTTCTAGTCGCTGCAACTAGTGCAGTTGGCCTCAGTATGTCTCGAATATCGCCAGAAATGCAAAGATGCGAGGTAAGCTCTCAAGTCAGAGCATTCTTTGAGGCACGCCTCGCGTTCACGAATGGTCGTCAGAGCCATTACTAAGTACAAAATGGACAAGGCGTCGCGAATGAGCAGGAAGGGTTGAAAAAAGCCGCAAAAACCTGCCGGAATCGGCCTTAGGAACCGCAATGATGAACGCTGCTTGCACAGGCATAAGGCGAAGAAAGGGCGTGGTCATACGAGTTTTCACTTGTTGGTTTCAGCTCGTTCTCCTTATCTTCTCATTCTCAAAATTCGGAATCGCGAGATTCATTAGTTAGCAAGCTAACCTCCAGGAAGTGGGCATTGCCGTTGGCCACTGGTGGGCCGTGCGTTCCACTACAAGCGGTCCATTCCTTCCGAGTTTTTTGAACGCGGGTCGGCTAGAACACTATTCTTCTTCCCTACGGGTAGATAACCGGCCAAAGAAAGCGTCTGAACATCAACTAAAATGGGGAGCGCATCTTCGGGGGCTAAAACTTTAATCTGCGGCGTTCTAGTCAGCGTGATTATCACATATGAGATGGGCGGAAGAGCGATCAGGGCTTCAGTCTTCTTTGTGAAATAAGAGCTACAGCTGCTTCCGCTGCAGACGCTGTGCCTGCCAGGGCTGGGTTCGGCGCTGTGCCAGCCATTTTTCACCACTTGTCATTCTACCGCTTAGCCATTTCGATGAGAATAGGCTGGACGCCCGCTGCCAAATCCAGCCAGCTTCTGACGCGCCGCAACGCGTTCGTACACCGTAAACAAATTGTATGTATAAGACTAAGTGCGCTTATAAGAATACTTCCAGCTATTCTTAATGGGTCACGCAGAAATATAAAAACGTTACTATTACAAAAAAAAATCTAGGGGCATTGTAAGTGATCTGGTCTATGCCAGCTGGCCTCACAGTACCTATGCTCAGTTACAGCGGCGGGGGGCCAAAAAAAAAAGTCATTTCGCGCCGGTCACATATATCAACGAAGTTTTCGCCAGCCCAGACAGGGGAAGTGGATATGAGTACCAGAGTGGAAGATACCCAAGATCTTCCTCTATAAGCTGGAGCAGGCTGCCGCCAATCGCCTTCATGTACGCCAAAATATGAAGTCATCTCCAGTCGCGGCCTGACTGGAGAACACCTTTGGAATTCACGTCGCCTCCAAACAGCTGCGAAACTTCTTGAATGAAGTCATCCACAGATAGCTACCTGGAGGTCAGTACTCTTGATCTGCAAGACCTCCCACATCGAGCAGCTACGGCAACGTCGCTACGGTCTAGGACATCATCTTCACGGCAGTCGCCAAGGCGCGGGTTGATGGTATGGACCGGACGCACCTGGAATGGAAAGACCAATATTTTCTTCGTGGACCCCGGGCTGAAGCTGAGCGCTGGCGGTTACATCGACCAACTCAAGAAGAATATCTTCTCCACATGTCGTCGCCCGTACCTTCTTGGAAACTTTGTACTGCTACAGCATTGGGTGCCACCACGTGGAATCGAAGGGCGTTGGAGAAACTCTCGCCTACCTGGAATGGAAGGGGGCTGAGTACCTAAAGAAGATGGAATATCTAAGTAGGTCACCTGACCTGAATCCCCTCAATTACCCGGTTCGAGCGGAGTTCAATAGGGTGGTCTACGGTGGCGGAGAAATCGACCATCTCGCTGATCTCAGGGACCACATCGCGGTTGCGTGCCAGAATCTCTCGATGGCGCTCCTCCAGAGCGGAGTGTCATCAATAGTATTTAATATGCTCTTTAATATGTTGCGTATAGAAATGCCCGGACGATCAAGATTTATAAAGTTAACTTATGGCGCCCTCGAAATTCAATGAAGCAAAGGTACTTTTTTGCGGCCCCCGCCCTGTATTAATTCACGCTCCCAGACACGTCCCGGCTTCAGCAGATTGATTCCGCCTAGTTCAAAATGCATGGCTGACCTGGACATGAGTCAATTTGGCCTTTTGCCCTTAGACCGTGAGTGAGAGTGGTAATATACACCACCTGTCACTACACGAGGGTCACGCATCACGTGTGAAAAAAAAAAAAAAATTGCGAGGGCTCCTAAAAAAGGGTTGTCTGTACGAACCTCATCCACACTCTCTTAGTCGACTGTGGAGTGGCATGGGAGGGTATCGGTTTTTCAACATTTCATGGATTATAACTTTCGTTCACCACATACCCTAGAACCACCGCGATTGGGAAACTAGAAGTTTTATCTTCCTAATGAGCAAAACGTCTCTGCTTGCAGCTCAACCATAGCAAAATTCGCCCGTTGCAGATTTTTCTTCGAAAGTCAGCTTCAGCTGCAGCATGAGGATCTCCCCCTTACAAAGCCCACATTTCCATCCAGTTCATGGAATGCGCCAGATCGACTTCCGAACGCACACCCTGCCTGCAAGCAGAGTCTCTCTGTGTTCAGTATTTGATCTTCTGCGAAATGACGACCCACCTTCTCGAGGGGGAGAGGGCAAATACGACTCCCTCCGTCGGCCGAATCCCGCTGACATCTGCATAAGACCCTGCACTACACACTGCAACTGATCTGACCCAGACCTCGAACCTTCGCTCTCCGCCTTCAGTCGTCTCTTCAGTATCACACGACCGCTTGTCAATGAGCGAAGAACGATACCTTAGTCGTTAGACCCCTTCGAGGCCAAGGTTGAAACCGGCCTTTTTTTTTCTGCTTTTCCTGAGAGTGCATTGAAATGTTCCCCATTTTGGTAATAGATGGAACGTAATCAAATACGACAAAAATCCGATATCGACTTATTGACAGCCTCAATGACTGACTCAAGCCAATTCCAGGTAAACGAAAACTGCGCAGTCTCCAAGAACGACTACAGCAAACCGAAGAAGCAATGAGCAGAGATCATATACGCAGCAACTGGAAGCTGTCCAAGCGGCTGCGAGCTCCGATGGAGCGTGAACTGGTAAGATCGAGCATAAGTAATGCATTATCGCAATCAATAAAAAGTAAAATATCCTTATTAGTTGATCAAGAGTTGCTCACGAATCAGATTACCAATCACAAAATGTTCGCGCGTGACCAGCACTATACAGTGCAGGGGACGTGAACTGCAAGCGCAGGCACTTTTCACACCCAATGACGCTAGGTGCGGAAAAAAACGCTTCCCTGGTGGGGTTCCAAGACCGCTCCCTTCACACGCCCAAGTCTTTGCAGAATTTCATTTGGCGTTAGTTCATTAGCTCCAAATTTTTTTTTAACTGACGTGATACCATATTTCCAATCCCGTAGAAAACAGTGGCCTTGGAGCGAGAGAACTTCGAGGTCCGTCAGCCACCACGGTGAGGAGTGATGGCAGGCATCTATGTATTGCGCCTTCATAATTGGTGCAGCCTCATTAAGGGCCGAGGAAAACCCGAATTGAAAGAAGTGGTTTACTGACCCCACCCATATGACCAACGTGGATAACACCTTTGAAGGTGAATGGCGAACTGTCCAGGTGTGCTGGAGAGTCATGCTTCCTGAATGCGCCACACACATGACTTTGCTTTAAGATCGGGGTACATTTGCCCAACAATATGACCCATAGGGTAAACATGGGAGGGGAGCACGCGATCCCGGGGGCGGCATTTCAGCTCCATAAACGAGACTGCTACCACGTAACTGACCATAGAAATATGAGAAATCATGTAAACCTAGGAGCTAATCATATCTTGAAAAGTGCATTACGCATAAGACTTGAAAACATCTCGTTTCCTCCATTTCAACCCCTCTAACTTATGTCTTTTTCAGCCCAAAAATGCCAAGCCGAGCGAAGGCAACGAGGATGAGAAGCAAGAAACTCCAGAGGTGAACCCGAAGAATGAAAAATACATCAACGATTTGGAAAAGGCCTTGAGAGACTTCAAGGTGAGTCCGTTGGCAGTGCACTACTGGTTCCATCTGCTAGTAGAATAACGCCGTTTCTTTCAGATTTTGTCCGAGGCTTATGAGGATGAGAAAAGCCATCATCATCGTGGCTCACAACATTCAAATTCAGAAGAAGACGAAACGAGTTCTGAAGAGCTTAACTCGGGCTCGGATGAGGATGAAGATGAGGAGGAGAACGAGCTAGAGGAGCCAACAACAGCAAAGGCAGCGGATAAGAAAGAACGAAGAGAGAAAGGCTCTGAGGACGACTCCGAGGACGTTTCAGAAGAGGAATCTCCGAAGGAGAGCCGAAGCAGTAAGAAGGACCACCACGTCAAGGAGAAGTCAGTATCCGCCGAGTCTACTATCGCGCCAAAAGAAGAAACAAAATCAGCAAAGCAGTTACGACGACGACCGAAAAAGGTCTAGCCAACTTCCTTTTGAAGCTGACGGTGACATGCTATGCCATGCGAGTCCGACAGCCGCGTCACCTCCCCCCCCCCCCTTCCCAGTATTCGTCCAGAAATTGTACATAAAAGTTGCGTGTCTCAGTGAATCTCGTCCGAGCAGCTCGCACAAATGGCATATATTTTCTCTTGGCAACGGCAATCCAGTAGTGCCAATGGTAGTAGCAGTAGCAGCTCTCCTATACCGTTCAGTCTTCCTATTTACCACACACTTCGTGCCACATGCCGCATTTATTTTTGTCTCCTTATTTATTTTATGTTATCATTGTGTTACCATTTTTGACTTTCTAATAAAAAATATTATTACAGATGACTTGTCGATGGTTGTCCGGCTCACGAACTTCATCTACCAGCGCTTGATCGCTGCAGATGCTGGGGTGTGGGCCGATGGCTGGTTGGAGTGGCCACTTTCCACCTATGTATGTCACTTAACGCTGCTGGCACAACTGCGTTGAAGTAACGAGCTTGGGCCGGCGCCAAATTCCAGCGCCCTAGCATCCGCAGCTAGTCAGACCAGCCGCCTTCAAGTGTGAATCCATGTGTAGATCGAGTGTGCTAGTATAACGCCCTTATGCTGTTAACTGAGACGTGAGGTTCTATCTTTGGGCTTTTTAGAGGGTACTAAAAGTGGTGCTCAGCGTGTGACCATGTATCAGTTCGAAACAGCAGTGGCACGAACAGACTTCCCATTATTTCCTAATCAGTTGACTTGCCAGGCTGTAGTACTAAATTCCCTCAATAACTACTCATCTAAAGATGGAGAGGGCGTGACCGCGTGCCTCATTTGAACCATCAGGGTGCTTGCTAACAAAGAACCGCCTCTACCTTCCATGTAACCTCCTGACTTATAATGTACAAAGACAACAATTGCCCCATAATTCGGATGGACTATGCAGCTGCCTCTACCCATTACTGGTACATGGGCTGTAAGTTAGGCCATGGTGCGATTGACGCGCACATGACAGCTACCTGAACCTGCTCAAATATACCCCATGTGTGCAATCCTGCGGAACAAACTTCATACGCGGTTCACAGGGATAGACAGGGAACAGCACCGTGAGGGGTATGGGGGCGGGGGGTTGTGGGGTAGCGCACTGTCCTGCGACAAAACGCTAATTTGACCGACGAAATCTGAGATCGGCAGTTGGGCATACCGCTGCCTACAGTCCTCACCAAATTCAAGTGCCTCAGACGATCCCTTTTTGAAGCAGCTTCATCCCTTGCCGAGACGCATCGAAAACGGCCTTGTTATCTTCTACTCTTGGTAGGTGCTAGGATCGGTGTACTGCCCATGCTCTCTCTCTCTCTCTCTCTCTCTCTCTCTCTCTCTCCTCTCTCTCTCTCTCCCTCTATTTTCTATGGGATACATTAAAGTTTTCCACTGAGCCCCCGTCCATTTGTTGCTTTGAAAGGGTCAGTATCCAAGTCTTCACTACCCTCAACCACCACTACCTAATAACTCTTTCCTATTTCCAACAAAGAGCATATTGCCGTCAGGAAGGACTTTCAGAAACGGAGCAGGGATGTGCCCAATCTGAGAATATCTACGGTCTATTGAAGAATAAAGGCTCCGATTTGAACGCCCAATACAAGCTGGACGACCAAGTGAAGTAATGCATTCGAAGGAGTGCTGGACATTCCGGTCTCGGTCCAAAGAAGCACAAATCGAACAAAGTCGTTTTACAGTCAGAAACGAGTGAAGGTAATTGTAATGTATTTCATTGCTGATGAGCTCGTAGAGTGTGTTTGTTTGTTGTCCGCCGTCGAAGCCCCAGCCTTTATTCAGGACCAAGCGCGATTAAAACGCCAGACGGCGACAGCAAAAAGGGGAAAGTCATCCATCATAATACAGTACACTGTTTCAAATCACATCGATCATAATTATCGTACGGTAAAGCAAAGTGACAGAGGCAAAACCTATTACCTTGTACAGTACTCCGAGTTAGGGAGCTTGGCAGAGAAAGACCACGATTGTCGCAGATGTGGAAGCTCTAGCACTTTCCGATTGTATTTGAAATCTCACTGTGTAGCAATAAAAAGTTCGACGGAATCACTCCCAGAATTCCAGACTGCAAATATTTTCACTGATAAAATCTTCAATGATCAAAAAGACCGAAGAAAAGACAAAAGAAAGAGAGAGAAAAGAGAAACTCATAAACTTTTCTTTTTCTTTTCTTCTCGTTTTTCAAGAGGGGATATATCAGCAGCATTTTACCTTGCGGTGCTATGTGCTCTGGAAGGGCCACTACCAGCGAGTTTTAGCCAGGTCATGCCTTGAAGCGATAACGCCCCGTGATTTGCGTATGCAGTAAGGGGAGCAAGAAGATGAAGACATGTACTGACGTTAACTCGTGTTAGAGTATGTATGTTAGGTTGCTTCGCTGAGAGTGTGAAGGCAAGCAGATATCGCATAGCTTAGCCCTCAGGGCACGTCGTATGCTGGAGAACTCTCAGCGGAGGGGAGAGGGACGTATATATCCCCCTATTCCCGACCCAAGCTTTACAGTTGGCAAGATATCAGGTGGATCTTGGTGGACTTGACGGGCGAGACGGTATCCGGAGCGCTGTGCTACTTGCAGTGTTCGCGGGCGACTGCTCTTCACCACCAAGTGTTTCACCTGCTCCTCGCTCCTTCCCCTTCCCACCCTTTTTATATGTTTTTAATTATACCTTGCGGTCATTGTACAAGATAACTATGATGTGTTTGGTTTGATTTACTAACCGATAATGAACTATAATCATATATGGATGCTGCAGGAAGGGTGGGGGACGGATCGTACTTGCTCGTCGCTTAAAGGGTCGTATTAGGTCTTAGTAATATTTTGGGCCGTTGAATTTCCCCCCCCCCTCCCTCCCCTCTCCCACTCGACAGCTATTTTTTTCGGGAGTATACTGAAAATCCCTGAGATCGGGTAGGCGTGGCTGCGTATTTTATTTTAAAATGGCGGCGGCCCAGGTTTTCGTGAGATATTTTCATTTTGGAGCAGTCGTAATCATGTCTACATCTAACACAGAACAAGATAGCAGTTGTTTCAAATTGAAGTATCCCACGAGAAACCCGTCCTATGCCATGCTCAAAAGCCACGCCTACTCCGTCTCAGAGATAAGGAGTGTAACTGGTGAACTTTGAAAATTCCGGAAAGTGGTAGGCAGTTGGGACATCTCAGAAAGACAACAGTAGGAAGGATTGGGATTTGGGGAGTCGTACCACAGGAAGACAGGAAGTTCCATGTCAACCTTGCTGAAGAATAGCCCCGAGAGGCACAGAGCCCGCCTTGGACCTACCACCTGGGAGTCGTACTGCTAGAGATTTTCTCCGCACGTGTCGTGAATCGCCCTCGCGTATTTTACCGAAACTGTACCATAAATGGACACCAGCC